CAGATAAATAAAACTGATTTGACATCACTTTTATAATCTAGAAAAACTAACACTATTATATTATACTGAAAATATAAACATGTGTATGTATGTAATACTTATGTTAGAAAAAAAGTGCTTTGGTGAAAATGACTCAGAAAATAGTCACTTGATACACATTATGTATAAAGCCTTCTATAGAAAAAATTGAGCTATTTTCAAGGAAATTGTGTTCACATTCTGTCTGAAAACTGTATACCTACTCCTCACTTACTGACTCTCTCATTACCCAACATTTCACATTTACGACAAAAGTGAAAAATCTACTGTCCCACTATTTTGCGTATTAATGATGTATGTCTGGCAGCAAGAACCCTGAGGTGCAGGGTGAGATAACCTGGTTGTGATGGTTGAGGTCAGCTTGGCTGAGCCATGATTCTCAGTGGCTGGACAGTCCTGTAATGACAGAGTCATCCTCCATTTTCATATAACACAAGTTTTCACATAACAACCTGGTCTTCGGAACCTCACCATGTCAGTAAGTGAGGAGAGGGTGCACCTGAAAGAAAAATAGGTTCACCTTATAGTTTCCTCTGAAATCATGGTTGAGTCAGCCTAAGACCCTTTTTAAACACTATACTCAAGAGCCCGCCTAACCGACTTCAGCCTTGAATATAGTTTAATTCATGCCCTTGCAAAGTGTCCCTCCAATGGCCCAGTTTCCAGTTACCTGCCCTCGCCAGTTGAAAGCACAGAGATCCCCCTTTGCATTTTAACAAGCCCCCACAGTTCCGCCCATTCATCAACTCATTTCTCCCCTTGACCACCCAGTCTCTGCTCCAGTGCATTTTTCCTGAGCTTCTAGCAAGGTCTGCATCGTCAGCCTTCTTATCGCCCATGAGTTGTTTAAATAAATATTCCTTTTGATTTGTAATTATTGGCTTATATAGTTGTTGTTGTTGTTATGTGCCATCAAGTCGGACCCAACTCATAGCCACCCCTCCTTGGGTTTCCGAGGCAGTATCACTATGGAAGTAGATTGCCCCATCTTCCTTCCAAGGATTGGCTGGTGGGTTTGAACCGCCAGCCTTCTAGTTACCAGTCAAGTGCCTTAGGCGCTATGCTACCAGAGCTCCTGGCTTATATAGTCTCCCCTTATCCTTGGGGGATATGTTCTAAGTCCACCAGTGGATGCTTGAAACCACGGATAGTACCAAATCCTATATATACTGTGTTCTTTCCAATGTATACATACCTTTTAAAAAGTTTAATTTGTAAATTAGGCACAGTAGGAGATTAACAACAATAACTAATAATAAAATGGAAGGATTGTAACAGTACACTGTAATAACAATTATATGAGATGAAGTGAGGTGAATGACGTAGGCATTGTTATGTGGGCTACTGTTTTCAGACCATGGTTGACCGTGGGTACCTAAAACTGGAAAGTGAAACCACAGATAAGGGGGGATGACTGTACCAGTAATTATAAAATTTATAGAACTTTCTTTTCCAAGCATTGCTTTTTTCAAAAAGAGAGAGAGAGACAGTGTGTGTGTGTTTGTGTGTGTGTGTGTGTGTTAATTTCCCCACAAGACTGTTTTACCACAGTTAAAACACTGAATTGAGGACATGGTCTGAGCTGTCTACACTGTAATGAAAGGAGGCCCAGTGGTGCAGTGGTGAAGCACTTGGCTGCTGGCCAAAAGGTCAGCAGTTTGAACCTACAGGCCACTTTACGGGATAAAGATGTGCCAGTCTGCTACCTTAAAGATGACAGCCTTGCAATCCCAATGGAGCAGTTCTACTCTGCCCTAAAGGGTGGCTATGAGTCAGAATCAACTCAATGACGGTGGATGTTGTGATGAAGATATTAACAAACAAAATGGTTATTTTAAATTTAGTTCAACCCCATTGCTCATAACTTATGCTTTATTTTTTACTTCGGAGCATCCACAACCATGTAAGAGGCATCTCGGTTTGACCTTTTAGGTGATGTTTATCTTTGCTCTTTCAGATGAATGATTACAAGAAGGGTTGACGGGTGGAAACTTCTTTTCGACTGTTGGATGATAAGGGGTGCATTTGAGTAACAAGGTGTGAAAGCCTCGGGATAACCACACTGTCCCGTGTCAAAGCCCTCCTCATGCGTTTCTGTGTCTATGTGCTGTTTCTAAGCATCTTCGAGAGCCCACGTGGAAGCAGTGGAGGGAGTTCCTGGTCAAATACTCCTTCCTCCCGTACCAGCTGATTGCGGAGTTTGCGTGGGACTGGCTGGAGGTCCATTACTGGACGTCACGGTTTCTCATCGTCAATGCCATGCTGCTCTCGGTGCTGGAGTTCTTCTCCTTCTGGAGGATCTGGTCCAGAAGCGAACTGAAGTAAGTGTGTGCTCAGGGAGGAGACCCACAGGGCAGCAGGCACTGGGAAGGAGATGCGGAGCGGGAGAAGGGGCCTCACGGCAGTGTTTCTCAAACTTGGAAAAATCCTCAGTCCCCCAAGACTGTCCCAGACCTCATTTATTTATTTATTCATGATTATGGGGTTTATTCGGGACGTGACAGGCTACAGTTCAGGTTCAGGAATGCTCAGGACACAAGTCTCCAATGAGGACCGCCACAGGAGTGCCTCTCTTTGGCCCTTGGCCCTTGGCCTCTTGGCCTGGTCCCTGCCCTGCTCGGACAAGTGTCCAAAGCCCTTTGAGCTCTGCTGATAGGCGCACCCCACTCTGCCAGCAAGCCTCCTGCCCAGTGGCACTCAGCACTGTGGCCCTGTGCGCTGGCGAGCCAGCACTCGGTCTCATGACATTCTTTTGGTTCTGCTGCCTCTCTTTGCTGTCTCAGGACGGGGATCTCAGGTCCAGACCCTCATTTAAAAAACATTATTAAGTGGCAGCTAGGAAAATGCCCTTGTGTTTGGTGTGGGGGGTTTGTTGTGTGGTGCTCATTGTTAAAGTGTTTCCCTGTGTATTTTATCCCGACATCATGGTGCTACCGTATAGTTCCTAGGGTGTGATGGTGAAAGGTGTTAATGATGAGGGAGTAAGCCAGGGGGAAGGACCGCCTTCATGGACCGAAGGCCATGGCAGAGTGTACAGAAGCCTGCTCAGGAATTCTGTGGGTCTGAGTTCTCATGCTGCTCCACCATCAACTGGGACAGGAATTGCTTCTCTGGCCTCATCTGTGCAATGGGAAAGCTGGAGTCTCTGAGTCAGTACTCTTGGCTGCAGGTGACAGACCCAACCTAAACTGGCTGCCAGAAAAGGGCGTGCCACTCAAGCCTTCAGGTGTGCCTGGCCTCAGAGACCCGGATGCTGTCGTCAGGACTGACTGTCTCCCTCTCACAGCTCTGCCCTTTCCCGTGTTGCTCTGGGCTTCCGTCCGAGCAGCTTGGCGACACTGGTGGAAAGAGAGCACTTGTACAAGTTTCAGAGCTCACACTCCTGTTCTCTGATTGGCTCAGCCTGGGTCACATGCTCACCCAGCTAGAACCCTCCACCAGGCGTATGCAGGGCTGCCCTCAAGCAGGCTCCAGGCCTGTGTTCACCCCACAGCCCTGGGCTGGCTTCAGCCCCTCTCAAACCACCTGGAAAAGAATAGAAGAGAGAAGTCGTTTCTAGAATATTGAGGTTGGCTGCTGGGCAGGCAGAAGTGACACCTCTATCACCCCAGACTCCTTTCAGCTTCAACATCACGTGACACAGTGCTGTCGGCCCAGGCCGTCAGAAGCAGGCTTGGACCTGGTTCTGAGAACCTCAGTCTCCCTCCTGTATTTGAATTCCGCACACCCTGTGCCCCTGACTCTCTGCTGGGCAGTCCGATCCCTTGGGGCCTACAGCCTAGCGGGGAAAATATCTATGCTGAGAAATACATGTAAGTGTATACACACAGAAATACACAGAAGAAATGCACACAGCTGTGAGGCAGGTAAGGTTGAGGCTGTGGTGGTGTGAACACGAGGCCTCGCCCAGCGTGGGAGACGGTGCATCCTTAGCCTTCACCCCAAGTGAACACAGGTTCGTCAGGCACAGGTCTGTCTCCGCTCCCAGGCTAGGAAGGCAGGGTCCCTGCACACAGGTGCCTGGATGCTCGAGGCACCAGGAGAAGGCTCAGGCCTGAGCACCGGGGTGTTGCCAGTAGAGACGCCACTGCAGTCCTGCCCCTGAAAAGCTGCTCTTGTCTTTGCAGGACAGTACCTCAGAGGATGTGGAGCCATTTCTGGAAAGTATCGACGCAGGGGCTCTTTGTGGCCATGTTCTGGCCCCTCATCCCACAGTTTGTTTGCAACTGTTTATTTTATTGGGCCCTGTACTTTAACCCAATCATTAACATCGACCTTGTGGTCAAGGAGGTGCGGCGGCTGGAGACCCAAGTGTTGTGACTCGCAGTGGCCAGTCTCTGAGTGACTGCCACAGTCGCCCAGGTCTGCGCTTTGATGCTACGAGGGGGGAGGGGGTGGGGGTGGGTCATGTTTTCTACCAAATAACATAAGGTGCTGCTTTGCAGTTGACGGCTGCAGCCAGGTCCTCGCCCCTTCTGCTTGTGGCCTGGGGGCAGCAGGGACTGGCATCTCTCAGGCGGTGGGCGGTGGGCTGGCCGGCTGGCTGACGCAGGCAGCACCTCCCCCCCAGCCGCCCTCCTCACAGGCACTTGTGAGGTTCAGGCCCGGGCAGCAGGCAGGGGCTCTAAGAGCCCTCAGGGACAGCGTGGGGTCGGCATCACAAGGCCACAGACCTTTGCCCTCACTCCAGCGCCCGACTGAGGTTCCCAGGGGGAGCCGGAGCCCTGACACCGAACCCGAGACCAGGCTTGTCCAACAAGTCAAGTTTAGGGAAATGGGGAAAAGATACCGTGAGGCATAGACAGCTAGTTGCACATAAAAAAATACAGCGGAAAACCCAAAGTTGGATTGACACTTCCGTCTCTGTGAAGACTTGCCAGACGATTTCGGCGTGAAACTTTGGAAAGGATGCAGTTAAAGACTGAAATGACGACGACGCTGGTGGTCACTGTTCCCCACTTGTAATCACTGATGTTTGGATCCATTACTGTGAGACCAGTGTGTGTGCTGGGGGAGTGTTACTGACGGGAAAAGAGGCAGTTAGTGGAGGGTAACTGACACCAAAGGAACCCTGGTGGGTCAGCTGCTAACAGGTCGGCGGTTCGAACCCATTAGCCACTGATGTAGGAGAAACGTGGAGATGTCCTTCTGTAAAGATGATATCCTTGGGAACGCTATGGGACAGTTCTCTGTCCTCTACACAAGGTCTCTATGAGTCAGAATCCACTCAGTGACAATGGGTTTAATTCACACCAGGCTTAGCCTCCTCACTGCTACCTTAAAGCATTTTTCTTTTGTTTTTAAGATTTAATCTGTAAAATAAATCCCAGGACAGTCATTTTGTTCCAAGAAACATTTTGTTAATTGACCTCACACTGTCTCTCCATTGTCCTGTTCCAACGGGTATTTCCCAAGTGCCATCATTGTAAATAGGAGCTCTGGTAGCATAGTGTCTACGGCATTTGACTGCTAACCAGAAGGCTGGTGGTTCAACCCCCCCAGCCACTCCTCGGAAGGAAGGTTGGGCAATCTACTTCTGTAGTGATACCACCTCAGAAACCCAAGGAGGGGTCTCTATGAGTTGGATCTGACTCGATGGCAAATAACAACATCGTTGTAAACACGGAGGGATGGTGGCCTTTTATTTCCTTCCCTGGGAACCAGCAGGAGGACCTGTGATCTCTCTGAAGACGCCCTGCAGAGAGAAGCTGGCAGCCAAAGAGCTTGTGTGACTCCACAGACCGTCCACGAACCCTTTGTATCTCTCACTAAAGATGTCACTCACGCTTGGCATCTGAAAGTCTGAAGAAATTACTTAAGATAAAAATAAAGGTTTTTATACAGATAAGACCTCTGATATAGAAAAGAACTGATGATTTAGAAAAGTCAAGGGAAGTCTGCATTGCACAGTTGGCTCACATGCCCCAGCCTGATGTGGCCATCAGGCCAAGGCACCACCCTCAGGTGTCTTGAGTGAAAGGAGGGGATGTTTCTCTTCCTCCTCTTTGCTCACGAGGCCTCGAGGCCCCCTGGCTGTGCGTGTGTAACATGCCTTAGTTCTCTAGTGCTGCTGTAAGAGAAACATCACATGAATGGCTTTGACAAATGAATGGATTCTTTCACAGTTGGGGAGGCTAGAACCCCGGATTCAGGGTGCCGGCTTCAGGGCAAGCTTCTCTCTCTGTCAGCCCTGGAGGAAGGTCCTTGTCTCTTCTCTGATGTTGTTTATATAGCTGTTAAATCTCATTTAATCCCTTTTACATCTCAAAAGAGCTGGAGTCAAGACACGCTTCATACTGATCCCATCTCATTAATATAACAAAGACAACCCGTTTCCAAATGGGATAATAACCACAGGCATGTTGTTGGGTTTTGCCTGGTCCTGCGCCAGCCTCACAGTCTTGCTGTACCTGAGCCTGTTGTTGCAGCCAGTGTGTCAATCCATCTCATTGAGGGCGCTCCCCTTTTTCGCTGACCCTCCACCTTACCAAGCATGACATCCTTCTCCAGGGAATGGTCCCTTCTGACAGCGTAACCAAAGCAGGTGAGACGAAGTCTGGCCATTCTCGGTTCCAAGGAGCATTCCCGCTGCACTCCTTCCAGGACACATTCGTTCATTCTACTGGCAGCCCGTGGTATTCTCCATTTGCTTTGCCAGCACCACTGCCCAGAAGCATCTACTCTTCTTTGGTCTTCCTAACCACAGGCACAGAGGTTAGGGTTTAAAACACCTATTTCGGTGAGGGGGGCAAAGTTCAACCCATAACACACGTGACTTGTGAGAGATGCTGAAGGGCTTGGATCTGGGGACACTGTGGTGTTTGCACATGCCTGGTCTCGTGCCTCGCAGGGTTGCTGTTCTGGGCCCCAGATGAAGAGATGGAGGCTGGATGGCCAAGGCCATGGAGCCAGTGCTGCGGTCGGGGGGCGGCACATTGGCAGGGCTGAGACCTGGCAGAACTGCGGGTTACCAACCCCCAGTCCAGTAGTCCCCCAGGCCTGTGTCCTACCACATGCTGTCACCAGCCTCTCCCCACACTCTCCGTCAAAGATAAGTAATACGCGGATCTACTCTGGGGAGGAGGGCAGGGGAGAGTTAGCCCAGAGCACACAGGCTGGGCTGGGCTTCTCCTTATCACCAGCAGAAGGAACAGGCACACTCAGAGAACAGGCCATGGGTTTGGGTGCGTCAGAAGGGGGTGGCCACTGAAAATCAAACCCTTTGATCCAAATCTGGGCTCAGGGATAATAATAAAATAGATGTGGGGGTGGGGGTGGGGGTGGGCAAAGAGCTATTCACAAGACTTTTTATCATGGCAATAATTGCTAAAAATAGGAAACATCCCCAAGATCAAAAAGTTGGCAGTCTACAAAGTAGTACAAGAGCCAGCTCTCTTTTTTGTGTGTGATTTGGGTGAAAGTTTACAGAGCATTCACTTTCCATGTAGCAGCTCACATACACTTTGCCTCATGACACTGACTACAACTTACCACAATGCAACAGCTCCCCTCCCACTTCCTCTCCAGGTATCTCTTCCCTGTGTCCTTCCCTCCATGCACTCCTGCCCCCTGAGCTGTCTCCCAGTGTCTCCCACAGCCCTTCTATTCTCCCATGATTGTTCTCTCCAAGGAGTGTATCTACCTCGTATAACATGTTCACTTCATATGCCTATCTTGTTTGGCTGGAAGTCACAGGAGTGGGTTCAATTCCAGACCTGAAAGGCAGCTAGGGGCCATAGTCTCAGGGGTTCCATCAGACTCTATCAGACCAGCAAACCTGGTCCCTTATTTTTTTAGTGATTTTTACTTTCATTCCACATTGTTCTCCCACTCTATCCAGAACTCTATCTATGTATCTCTATCTATGTATCTCCTACATAGATCCCCCTCTGAGTGGATGACAGACAGTGGTAGCTGGGTACCATCTAGTTCTTCTGGTCTCATAGTCATATAGGCTGAGGCCCACATGGTGTACCAGTCACTTGAACTAATATTTCCATGAATCTTTGGTTTTCTTCATTCTTCTTTGCTGTGGATGAGGAGAGACCCATCGTTGCATCTAGATGGCTGCTTGCAAGTTTTTAAGATCCCAGTCACTACTTGCCACAGTAGGAGGTGGAACAATGTTTTGTGTAGTATGTTATGCCAATTGAGCTTGATGTCCCCTGTGACTATGGTACCGAGCCCACAGGTCCAACTACTCACTCCCTCTGGGTAGCTGGCTGTGGCCAAAAAGTGACTACAACCTTGTCCCTTGTCAGCTCTACTATATTCCTGGGAATTCTTACAGAACATACCAATATACTTGTAGAAACAGTCTGCCAATCCTATACATGGTCTTGGGCACACTCTCCCCTGCATAGACATTCCTAATAGTTCAGCCTGTCCACCCATCTATCCACCCATATATCCATGTTTGCTTTCACTGACAACATAGTGCTGTATGTGCAAAAAGGTTTATCTTTGTTGTCTGTACCTCCCATGTATCTCTCTATGCCTTCCTCTTCCTCAATGCCACCATGTTGATCACTCACATTTGGTACATTGCCCTTCTCTTCACCCAAATCAATATTAGTCTCTACCTGTCTAACAGTGTTCTCTACCCTACCCTCCCACCCCTGGTAACCAACAAAGAACGTTTCCTTCCATATATAAACCCTTCCTTGACTTTTTACAGTAACGGACTAATACAATATTTGTCCTTCTGTGATTGACTCATTTTATTCAGCATAATGTCCTCCAAGTTTATCCATGTTATGCAGTGTTTTGCAGATTCTACATTATTCTTTAGGATTACATAGTATTCCTTTGTGTGTATGTACCATAGTTTGGTTACCCATTCTTCAGCTGATGACACCTAGGCAGTTTCCATCTTTTTGCTACTGTAAATAGTACTGCGATGAACATAAACCAGACACCAAACTCACCGCCATGGAGTTGGACCTGACTCATAGCGACCCCTCCTTGGGTTCCGAGGCACTATCACTACAGAAGTAGATTGCCCAACCTTCCTTCCAAGGAGTGCCTGGTGGGTTTGAACCTTAGGCGCTATGCCACCAGAACATGGGTGTGCATATATCTGTTCTTATCCTGATTCTCAATTCTTTAGGATATATACCTAGTAATGAAATGGCTAGGTCAAATGGTATTTCTAATTCCAACCTTTTAAGGAATTGCCATACTGCTTTCCACAGTGGTTGTGTCATTTTACAGTCACACCAGCAGTGTAGGGGAGTCCCAATCTCTCTGCCTCCTCACCAGCATTTGTTATTTTCTGTCTTGTTGAACTTTGCTACTAGTGCTGGAGCAAGATGGTATCTCATTGTTGTTTTGCTTTGCATCTCTCTAATGGCTAATGAGGAGCTCTGGTAGCGTAGTGCCTAAGGCATTTGGCTGCTAACCAGAAGCCTGGTGATTCAAACCCACCAGCCACTCTCTGGAAGGAAGGTTGGGCAATCTACTCCAGTAGTGATACTGCCTCAGACATCCAAGGCGGGGTCACTGAGTCGGATCCGACTCCATGGCACTGGATTTAATGGCTAATGATCATAAGCATTTCTTCATGTTTGTTGGCCACCTGAATATCTTCTTTGGTGAAGTGTCTATTCATGTCTTCTGCCCATTTTTTAACTGCATTATTTGTCTTTTTGTTGTTGAGGTCTTGGAGTTTTCTAATTCTAGAGATAAGTCCCTTGCCAGATATGTCATTGCCAAATATTTTTTCCCAATCGGTAGGTTCTCTTTTTATTCTTTTGGAGAAGTCTTTGGAAGCACATAAAAATGTAAGTTTTGGACGGTCTCATTCATCTAGTGTATCTTCTGCTGTCTCTGCATTTTGGGTTATGCTTGATAGTCTATTTATGCCAATTTATGCCATATATTGTTGTTGTTATTGTTGTTGTTATTGTTGTTATGTGCCATCGAGTCGGACCCAACTCATAGCGACCCTTCCTTGGGTTTCTGAGGCAGTATCACCACGGAAGTTGATTGTCCTATCTTCCTTCCAAGGAGTGGCAGGCGGGTTTGAACCCCAGCCTTCTGGTTAGCAGTCAAGTGCCTTAGCCACTATGCTACCAGAGCTCCCATGACAAAAACTATCTCCATATGGATCAAAGCCTTAAATGGGAAACCTAAAACTATAGAGTTCCTCAAGAAAAAACTAGGGGCAAATTTAGGTGCCCTAATAAAATACTTCGGAAGGAAGGTTGGGCAATCCTACTTCCGTAGTGATACTGCCTCAGAAACCCAAGGAGGGGTCGCTATGAGTCGGGGCCGACTCGACAGCAAACAACAACAACAATAAAATACTGCTATATATTAAGGTCCCTAAATTTTCCCCTAGTTTTTTCTTGAAGAACTCTATAGTTTTAGGTTTCACATTTAAGTCTTTGATCCATCTGGAGTTAGTTTTTGTATATGGTGTGAGGTACAGATCTTGTTTCATTTTCCTGCAAATGGATATCCAGTTTTGCCAGCACCATTTATTAAACAGATGTTCTCCTCCCCATTTAATGGATTTCAGCCTTTTGTCTAAGGAGATCCAGCTCTTTAAAATGAAGTTTTCAAAGAGTCACCTGGACAGAGGCTTACGAAAATCACAGTATGATCTCAATTACACTTTATAGAAAAGCCTAAAGGGCAGTCAACTAAAACACTAGGAGTAGTCATTGCTGGAGTGTGGTAAAGGGACCTTTTTCTGCTTTTCAGTTCTCTTTTTTTTTTTTGTTGTTGTTGTTTTTTATTTAACAATGAAGATGTACTGCTTTTGCAGTCAGGAAATACATTTTAACAGTTAAAGGTGGAGGGAGTTGGGCAATGATAGATAGTCTCTTAGCTAAAAGCCTAAGGAGACCTGGTGGCATAGTGGTTAAGCACTTGGCTGCTGATCAGAAGGTTGGCAGTTCAAACCTACCTGCTGCTCCTTGGAAGAAAGACATGGAAGTCTGCTTCTGTGAAGATTTATGGCCTTGGAAACTCTATGGGGCAGTCTCTGTCCTATAGGGTCATTATGAGTTGGAATCACCATGCCAGCATTGGGGAAGCTGGAAGCCACTAGACTCGACTCTCATAAGGGCAGGAGTCACACCCCATCTTGTGCTGTGACTTGGAGCCTAGCTGGGCCCAGCTCATAGGATGTCATTCATATCCGACTGCCCGTCATCAGGCACACATTCAAAGAAAAGCTCACCTTCTTTTAAGGATTGAATCTCAAAAATGCTACCAAACCCGGCACCGTCATAAACAGGGTCGTGGTTTTATAAAACAGACGTGGCACTTTGCCCTTAATCAACCGGAAACCAAACAGACGCCAGCCCCGAGTTCCGGGACGGGAGAGAGAGCAAACAAACCCTTCAGCTTTATCACCTGGTCTCAGTTCCCTCCCTCAGAGCACTGACACCGTGTTAGTCAGTGGAAAGATTTATTTCCTTGGGCAAAAAAATCATGTCAAGTCCAACGCAAGTCACACTTGGGTGAGCCCCCCCCACATAAGAAGTAGGGGTAGAAGAGGTGCTTGATGTGGTACTTGGCCTGGGCTAGGCACTGAGCTGCCTCCTGGTCACACTTGCATATGAGCTCTTGGCATTTGTTCTTCGTGGGGCCTGGAAGAAGTGAGGAAACAGGTTAGGGCAGGGACCTGTGGAGACATGACGCCACAAAAGCTGAGGGCAGAAAGGTCACAGCTGCACTGGCGTGGCACGTGATCTTGCTCCTCGGGGCTACTCCAGGCGGGAGGTACCCTCATCCTCATTTTACAGAAAAGGAGACTGGAGTCGCCAGGGACATGTTTTCACATGGAGACTCCAGAGTTTGCACAACCTTCTGGCTTCTCTCCTGACTCAGTGTAACTCTCTGATTTGAGGGTCTGTTTAGTTAAGTGTCTGCTGCAGAACCAGCCAGATCTAGGTTTAGAATGCTTGCTCTGCCCCTCCCCAGCTGTGTGTCCTTGCCTGACCTTTCTGAGCCCATGTCCTCATTCAAAATAGAGTGTTACCCACTTTGCAGGGCTATTAGGACACCTGGGTGAGAGAGCAAGGGCTTGGCATAGGACTGGCAATCAATGATGACCCTACCAGTCTCTCTGTAAGTCTACCTCTTGGATGTCCTTAAAGAAAAATGACTTCTTTTACGTAATGTGTGTTCCATCTCCACCTTTTGTCCTTGGCCTGCATCATACACAGATACAAAGATCTAAGGCTCCTTCTGGCCTGAGAATTCCACTATTAGAGATTCGTTATTCTGGGTTGGTAAGATTTTGTGGTCTTCAACTCATACCATATTGAACCTAGAAGGTATAGCTGCTTTTTAGTGCAGGCTTTTTATTCACATAAATGAAAATGGAATCCTTCCATGTTCCTTCAAGAGGCACAAGGAAGAAGCATGAGCTGTGGGGTTAGCCAGCCTGGCCATGGATTTAGCAGCTGTGTGTCTTTAGACTCATCACTTCACCCTCCTCAGACTCAGTTTCCTCTGTGGCAAAATGGAAATGATAACAGTGCCCACGTCTAAGGGCTGTTGGAAGATGAATAGTAGTAAAAAAAAAAAAAAAAAATGCAGGGCATAAGCAGGCACTCAGTAAACAGGAGCTGAGTTCCTTAAGCTGCCAGCTAGTATCTAAAAATGCCCTCTTAAAATGTACAAGTTCCATAGCTACATCAGAAAAACGGAAAGTGATAAATGTTGGCAAGGACATGGAGAAACTGTACCCTCCACTGCTGGTGGGAATGTAAAATGGTGCAGCCGCTGTGGAAAACAGTTTGGTGGTTCCTCAAAAAATTAAACACAGAATTGCCATATGACTCAGCAATTCCATTCCGAGATATTTTTCCAAAAGAACTACAAGCAGGAACTCAAAAGAATACTTGCATGTTAATGTTTACTGAAGCATTATTCACAAGAGTCCAAGGTGGAAACAGCCCAAGTGTCTATCAATAGATGAATGGATACACAAAAGTGGTACATCCATACGCACCCAAAAAACCCACTGTCTTCAAGGCAGTTCTGACGTATAGCTACCCTAGGGTTGCTATGAGTCGGGTCTGACTACAGCACACAACAACAACAGGGTTTCCAAGGCTGTCAACCTTTAATGGAAGCAAAGCTCAAACCAAACCCACTGCTGTCGATTTGATTCCAACTCATAGTGACCCCCATTAGGTAAAGCCTTACAGAAGAACACCATGGCTTTCTGCCTTGGAGCAACTGGTAGATTTGAACCACCAGCCTTTTGGTTAGCAGCCGAGCACTTAACCATTTCACTGCCAGGCTCCTCTATATCCACACCATGGTCTATTGTTCAGCCCTAAGCAGAAATAAAATTCTGATTCATGCTACAATACGGATGAATCTGGAAAACATCATCTGAGCAAAATAAGTCAGACTCACAAGGAAAAATACCGTATGAGTCCACATACAGGAACTATCTAGAACAGAAAATGTGCAAAGCCAAAAGGTTATCAGTGGTTACTAGGGGCTGGGAGGAGAATGGGGAGTTTATGGTTACTAGGGGCTGCGGGGAGAATGGGGAGTCATCACTTAGGGGGTTTCCATTTGAGGTGACAAAATATTTTTGGAAATGGCTAATGGTAATGGTTCCAGCGTGGTGAATATAATGAACGCTGCTGAATTTGATACTTCCGAGTGGCTGAATCAGCACATTGTGTGTAATAATTATCACCATACACACAAAAAGTGCACATGTTCCTTGGGGATCCAGGGAGATGAAGCATGAGAATCAGAAGGGGTACCCACTTCTCTCCTTTAGGACCCCAGGCAGCACCAGGATGGGACGGAGTGACGGGGAGGGCATGTCAAGCAGGAAACCAGGGGCCCCAGGGCCCTATGGTGATTGTCTCCCAGGCCCTGTCCTGAACAGAGTGGCTTCAAGGTGTTTACCCTGACAACTGCACACCGGGGTTCCCAAACCCAGTCAGGCCCATGGTAACTTCAAGATTATTGCTTTAAATCCAACACCTTGTTAATACTAAGTAAATTCTTTGATTCAATAAACAATAAATTGAATAAAACTTATTATGGTAAATAAATTCTATCACTGCTGTAAAGGGGAAACCAACACCTTATACCATCGCTATAAGGAATTGATCAACAAGCACAGAGAAACAACAACAATGAAAACAAAGTTCAAGTATTAAATTCCAGTTAGGTGCTGCTGCCTGCCTAAAGGCAGTAACCAAAACCAAACCAAACTCACTGCCTTTGAATCAATTCTGACTCATAGTGACCCCCACTGGGTTTCTGAGGTGGTAAAATCTTGACAAAAGTAGATTGCCCCATCTTCCTTCCATGGAGCGGCTGGTGGGTTTGAACTGCCAACCTTCTGGTTAGCAGTGAGTCCCCAAACTGGGGCGATTTGGTTATAAAAGGGAGATTGATAAATGTTAGAGAGAGACATTTAACCCCTCTCGTCCTCAGCCCAGCACAAAACTGACACTTGCTCCTAGGCTAATTGGAAAAATTAACAGAAGGTTGAGAGGGAAAGTCTTTCTCACTTAAATTCATTATTTAAAGCTTCTCACACTCTGGGAAACGTTATTTGAGGTGGGGTAGAGACGAACACCCCCAACTCCTTGCACTGACGCTTTGCAACAAATAATTTTTCTTCTTAATCTCTTGGTGTGTAAACTGTTTTGGTCTGACTGCGCACCGGACAGGGACCCACATTTGGTCCTATTTCAAGTGCGTGGGAGGGAAAGACACAGGGAAGAGGTAACTATGAGGAGGAAGTGGGAGGGAAGCTGTTGCACTGTGGGAAATTACAGTCACTGTGGGAAATTACAGTCAATGTCATGAGGCAAAGTGTATGCAAACTGCTGTATGGGAGATGAATTTGCTCTGTAAACTTTCAGTCAAATCACAATAAAAATTAAAAAAAAAAAAAAGAAGAATCTGGTTAACCGATGTGCTCAAGATGTCCCGAACAGAGTGTTAAATGAAAAAAAAGAAAAATATAAAATATATATAGTACAATCTGACCAGGCCCTAGAGAAGGACACCACATTTGGCTAAGCAGAGGGTCAGTGAAAAATAGGAAGACCCTCAACAAGGTGGCCGACACAGAGGCTGTAGCAGTGGGCTCAAACGCAGCAATGATTATGAGGCTGGCGCAGGCCCAGGCAGTGTGCCGTTCTGTTGTACATGGGGTGGCTACGAGTCAGAGCCAACTCTACGGCACCTGATAACAAAAACGTGATCCAGTACTGTAATAAATACATAACTAGAGTTAAAACAGATGTATGGATGTACATATACACACAACATATATATACACACACATATGTATGGGGGAAAGAGCTCTGGTGGCACAGTGGTGAAGCACTTGGCCAAAAGGTCGCTCTGTGGGAGAAAGATGTTTGCTTCCATAAAGATTACAGCCTTGGAAACCCTATGGGGCAGTTCTACTCTGTCCTAGAGGGTTGCAGTGAGTTGGAATCGACTGGATGGCAACAGGTTTTTGGTTTCATGTATATGTGTGTGTGTGTGTATGTGTGTGTGTGTATGTGTTGTTGTTGTTGTTCTTGTTGTTAGGTGGTATGGAGTAGGTTCTAACTCATAGCGACCCTGTGTCAACAGAACGAAACACTGCCTGGTCCTGAGCCATCCTGACAATCGTTGCTATGATTGAGCCCATTGTTGCAGCCACTGTGTCAATCCATCCCATTGAGGGTCTTCCTCTTTTTCGATGACCCTCTACTGCACTGAGCATGATGTCCTTCCCCAGGGACAAACATCACACACACACACACACACACAC